GCGGTCTTACAGGCGAGCATCGCCCTGCCCCTCAAAAGGGTGTGGAGCAAGCTCGAAAAGTCGGTTGCTGGTGTCCATCCAGACCGGGAGGATGTAGACACCGTTCTTGAAGAAGATCCTGCGCTTCTTCCCCGCAGTTGTCTCCAGGTAGCACACCTTCGGGCCCAAAATCACCTTGTTTCCTCGGGAGGTGACAAGAGCGCGGCGACCGAGGCCCTCAACTCAAGGACCTCGTCCCCCAGCAGCCAGGCTTTGGCTTCAAGCGTGCCCTCGTTGGCGACCACGCTGCCGTCGGCAAGTTGGAAGCTGCGGTACCCAACCGGTTCCTTCAGCTTCGAGCTCTCTCCCAGGACTGGCGCCCGAGTCGACCACAAAGTCGACCCGAGTCCACCCGGGTTACTGGTGGCTCCTTTCGAGCCGGTCTCGATGTTGCCACCGAAGGCAGAGAGGTTGCCCACAGCGGGCCTCCCTTTGGCTTTCTCAGCCTTCTCTGCCTTCCTCCTCTTTTCTCTCTTCCGCTCCTTGCGGTGCTTCTTTGCCTTTTTGGCCGCCGTAACCTTTGCCTCGGACGGGGGCAGCTCTCTCGTTCGAGCCTTTGGCTCGGCTGCGGGTCTTCCTCCAACAACGCACTGCGGGCGTGCCTGGAGAGAGGCGCCGCAGCTCCTTCTCAGCCAAAGGAAAGACCTTTTCTTTCCTTCCGGCCCCAGGCTGGTCAAAGCGGCGGGCCCAGGTGAGCTGAGTGCGCAGGTTCTTTTCAGTTCTCTCTCCTGCTGCGTGCTCAGACGGTGCTTCTCAGCTCTCTTGCCATCTCCGGCTTGTCCCGCTCCTGTCGGCTGCTGTGCCCAGCCTTTGTGCCCCGTCGCGTGGCCGTCTGCTCCTCCTTGAGGTTCTTGATGACAGCGCCCCGCTCCTGAAGCTCAGCTTCTGTGTTCTCACGCGCCGGGTCGTCAGCTGTCATATTGTCGAGGGCCTTCTGCAGGTCTTCGCGCCTGCTCACACGAGACTGGAGCATCTCGCCCAAAAGGACGGACCGAGCCGCGCTTGGCCGGGTCCCGCGCCGAAGACGACGCTGGGACGACGCTGGGACCTCCTGCCTGGCTGTCTTGCGCGGCGGTACGTACCTCCCTGTTGAGGGTTCCGATTTCGAGGGCTCCGGCTCCTTTGCCTCCTTCTCGGGCTTCTCCTTGGCCTTCGTCTTGACCACGGGCCGTCTCTGCAGAGGGGAGCGGGAGCGTCCCCTGCGTTCCTGAGGCGGCCGAACTGCCACGGACCTTCGGAGGAGGGCCTGCAGATTCAGCCGGCCTTGTCGTCTTGGGGTCGTAAGGGAGAGGCTTTGACTTGGCCTTCAGTTTGCGCTTGTGCGGTGGCAAGTAGAGCGGCTTCGGGCTACGCGAGGGCGCCGGCGTCGCTGCACGCAAGGGCTCCTTCCGTTTCCTGGCCGAAGGTGAGGTAGAAGAGGACCGCTCCGCCGAGGAGCCGCACTTGTGCAAGGACACGTTCGTCTCGCGCTCCTGCGCGGCCTCTTCCTGAGCTTTCTTCAGCCGACGGGCTGCGCTGCTCTTCCTCGTCTGTCTCTTCGACCTCTACGGTCTCCTCCTCACTTTCTTCACCCTCCGGGTCGTCACTGGAGGAGCTGTCCGGTTTCCGGGCCTCCACGTGCTTGGAGTAGTCCGGCTCCTGGCATAGCTGGCCGCACATAGTTGTTAGTCTTGCTTTCTCGGTCTCACGCCTCAAACTGGGACTGCAACCTTCCAAGGCTGGGACCACGTCCAGGAGACTGGGCCGAAGGCAGGGCGACAGATCTGACCTGGCGCGGCTGGCGGCGGGCCCGGTGCTGAGTCAGCACTCGGCCCCCTCCATCGCCAGCCTGCTCTCCGTCTTGGCCATCGCCTTCTGGCCACTCTTGTTCTTCCTCTCCTTCACCCTCGAAGGAGTGGG